CTATCTACTTATCTATCTATCTATTTATCTATTTATCTATCTATCTATCTATCTATCTAGCTAGCTAGCTAGCTAGCTATCTATCTCGACTTTCTCTCTCTCTCTCTCTCTTTCTCTGTCTATCTATCTATTTATGACTGATTTTTTTGACAAGGTACGCGAAGTGGGTCGGAGGTGCAAGGACACCCTTCATCTCTGAACAATAGAAAGAAAAATCTTTCGCCGCTCTTAACCGAAAGAGGATGCATCTAACCGATAAACGATAAGCCGTGCTTGCACACCACTCACGACACAGATACACACACGTGCCGTAGGAGTTGACTTACACGCTGAAACCGAACAACGAGCGATACCGTCCGTCGGAAATTCCGATAATCGAGTCGATCGTTCTGCTACGCTGTTCGAAACAATTAGGCCGGTCCTCTGTTCAAGGCTCGTGCCCCCACTCCTTCGGCTCCTCCCCACCGCCGCTCGTCGCCACTCCCACCACGCGCCCCCTGCGTCATCCCCACCACCGGCTATAGCTCGGCGAGCCAACAGATTTCGCTATTAACGATCTTATCGCCGCTTCTGGCAGACGCTGCGCTATCGCAATTTCTACCTCGCAATCTCTGCGCCACCTTACGACCCAGATGAAACGTTCCTTTCAATTTCGACTACGCGAAGCCTGCATCAGAGGATCGACCCTTGGAAAATTTTGAATTTAGTCATCTAGACTGTCGGTTATTCCGCGATCGATCGTGTGGATTAGTTCGAGACGAAGGGGAAAATTGTTACTCGAGGTTGGAGTTGAAATGGGAACGTGGAGAGTAATTTTTAAACGAACAATTTCAGAACGTGGCTCGAGACACAGGGATATTCCGCACGGACAATCGTTCCCGCGTCGCATTTGGCATGGCTGCGCTTTCCGCCTCGCTTTTTTTATTTCGTTTCACGCTTGGTTCTCCGCTGTCTAGCCCCGTTGCTCGCATTTCTTATCAACAGAGCAGCAGCACGGCAGAAAGGCCGGTTTTCACGCCGAAACGTCCATTTACGAGGTTCCTCCGCGTCGAGGCGACGCGTCTCCGCTCGATTTCTGGCAGACACCCGGTCTTTTAACTCGTAAAACTTCCCCGACACCCGACGAAATTCTATTCCGAAACTTTGATATCTATGTTTCGCGAATGCCTGCCGGGAAAGGTATATCCCGCGTCCTAGGGGACTCTAGTATTTCCAACGTACCATTTCATGCATGAAACATGAGTCTCCGCAAACATATAAATCACCTCGATTCCGCCGGATGATTGTAGTCGGGAACTTTAATGCATACAAATTCTTGCCAATTTTACTTTCGATGATCGCTTTTTCCAACCAGCCGAAACTTCTCCCGGGCACTTCGCTTTCTTCCTTGTTATTTCTTTCTCTAACTTCGCCGACTTTGCGCGAGGATCCTCCAGCCGAAACTGTAACAAAGTACCAAGTAAAAAGGTCATTCCAGAATCGAAGAATAAATATTCTAAATGATATGGTACACGCAATAAAAAGAAAATTCGAAGATTACGTCGGTAAAAGTAGATTATTCAACGATACACATACGATGCTTACGGTACGTTTATCGGAGTTACGAGCCACGGTGGCGCTAGTGAGTTCAGCGAAAGGTCCTCCTTAAGGCTGGCAAAAGTAATATTACATCTTTATTTATCGATTAACCGTACTTTCGATTAATATTACGTTCCATTTAATTCACTTACCACTAAGTACAACACTCATTGCTCGATATTGCCTCGATTTAGAATCCAATTTAAATACAGTCGCGATATAAATATAATTTCGCGGCAATCGGGTGGCGGAAAATAAAAAGGACGTCGTATACTCAACGCGAAACGACTTTACCCATGGTGCCTAGCGTCGGATGGGGATAAGAATACGCGGACTGCATGGAAGTCGGCGCGTTTCCGGTGGCGCGGGTTCAGCCCCGAAAGTATACGGATATTATACCCCCGGGGAGGAGTTTCGCTGGCGTATTTATACCGGCGTCGGAACCGAGTGCCTTCCATCTTGTTCCCTTCAATTTTCCCACTTTTCCCGACGGTAAATTATTCAGGCGGCGCGTAGAGACGATTCGCCTTCTTTGAGCCACGACGTTCACGATAATTGCGTCCCCCTTGTGTGATTCAATTTTCCCCTCTTAACCCCTCGTGACGGGAAGAGTCACGCGTTCGCCCCGTAATTTCCCGGCATCCATTTACGGTTACCTGTTTTCTTATTTTTATTGAAACAGACGAGAGCACGGTGGGGCCTGAAAGCTTCCGGATAGCGGTCGCTTCAATCCTGGCTGGGTAATGAATTTTGGATGGGGGGAAGGTCGGGTTGGAAGATGGAAGCAAGGTTAAGGGGTGTTTTTTTTATGAGTTAGGGGAGTGGCAGGGTGCTTTCGGGAGCCATCGTGCCTGCTATGAGTTACCATAAATTGGCACCTCTGATGAATTCTTTAATTTGCCACTGCTCCGAGCCAGCCAATTTAGGGGTAGCCTGTCTCGTTATTTGGCTGCTGGATTAAGCGTTGAATCTTTTATACTGATGTCGAATAGGTATGAGAGACAGTGTCAGTTTATGATAATTCAATCCACGGAACAGACTTATCCCTCGATTATCCGCGATAATTATCGATACTCGACGAGGTATCTGCTCAACGATTCGCTTGGTCAACGATCGATAGCACTTGGTTCCATGATCTACGCGATCCAAGTATCGAGGACGTGCGGTAATATGGCTGACGAGGAATATGTCACGCACACGCGAGATTAGCCGAGGAGAAGGATAACACCCGAATACAACGACACGAACCACACTGTTATAAGAGCAAACGAGGTGGCCAGAAACGGCCTGACCTTTCGACTCCAACGTTTCTCACCCCCGAAAAATGACACGCAATCGCACGCCGCTCAGCATGCAATTTTTATGGTACCATTATTTCTGTTCTTTCTTTTCTGTTCCCTCTTTCTTTCGTTTTTTGTGAAACGTCGCGACGCTTCGCTGGCACGGAACGAAGCCGAGCTCTCGAGAGGAGCAGTCAGAAGGTAAAGACGAGAGGACCATTGTTTTTTCTCCCTCACTCCTGGCACCGATAAGTCGTCTTGAGAGCATCGGCAGAGTTGCTCGGATTTTCATTGATCACGATTTGTCTAGCATGCAGAACACGTGCACCACGTTTTAGCGTTCTACACCCCAACATCCTGTCTGACCACCTCCTCGCTCTCTACCCTCTTCCTTCTTTCTTCTACCACTTTTCTCTTTCTCTCTCTCTCTATTCTTCTGTCTCTGTCTTACTCGTATACTCTCTGCGGTTTGCATCCATCTTCTGTCTAGCTTCTTCTAGCTTCTTCTGTCTGGAAAGTTAGACCGACTGATCGATTATCTCTTAAAGATCTAGCCAACATCTGGGGTAGCTTCTTCTCTGTCTCTTTCTTCCCTTGCCTGACGATTCTTTTGGATACATTGAACTGTGATTAGATAGCATGGACGATCGGATAGAGAATCTTCTTGTTGTAGCTGACCAGATCGACGTGACGATGCATCCGGATCGATCCATGAAGACTTCTTGCTCATTCCCAGGTGTTGTTGATAAATTTGACGTTGATTATTGTAATATGGTAAGTAAGGATATTTGAAGATGTTGATTTTTAATGTTGGATAATCTTGGAAGGATCGTTACGTCGATCTCGGTTGAAAGTCGAATCGATCGACTCGCTTCGATCATGCAGGGAACCCAACGACGTTTCTTCGACGTCGAAGGATTTCCTCCTAGCAGACATCTCTCTCAATTCTTTCTCTCTCTCTCTTTCTCTCTCAATTCTTTCTCTTTCTCAAACTTAATCTCTGTAATCCCATCTAGCGATCGAGATACACTCGTGCGAAACTTTGTTACTTCACACTAGAACCATCGACCTGTGATATACCTAAATTCATGTATCATAGTTATGGTACATCTAGATCGAACTGAACTAGTACAACAAAGGTGAATAAACGAATGTATAAAGATCTAACTTAATTTAGACTAGTCTAGTGGTTCTAGTGTTGACAAGGACTCCATTTTCTCTCCTTCTTTCTTCAATTTCTTCCACCTCCTTCTTCCTCGAGGAAATTTCGCGTTACAGCGTGTAACGTTTAATTCTTTGACGACGTTCCATAATCAACGAGCGTTCTTTGTGTGGCAAGAAAGAAAGGAGGAAGCATGTAATGGAGGATAGGTGGTTCCCATGCGCTCTCTCCTCCATTGTTCCCGAACTTGGTTCCAATTTCACCGCGACGTTTACTGCCTCTTAGAGCGCGTTTCCACGGGAACGGCTTCTGATAGTTGGAATAAATCACGTGCCTCGCAGGAAGCATCCAAACAAGCTCGTGTTCAACGACCTTGTTACTAAGCCATCGATCAACTCTTCGGCGCAGCTTCTTAAAGCTTCTTCGACCCCTTCTGCATCGTTCTTTCAGCACAAACAGACACGCGAAGATGCACCTGTGACGCGAGTCACGGATCACACTAGCACTGTCTCATCTCCGCTCTCAGCAGCGATGTAACTCTTCTCGCTGTCTCGGTTGCTTCGCAGCTTGACCAAAGTAGGAACTGGGACGTCCTACTGGGAACTCTCCATCCTCCTTCACGCTCTGTCTACGCACCTCTGTCTATCTTGATCGCTACGAATCGCCATCGACTTCTATTCGACTTGTTCGATCTCGACCACCATCCCGATCAATCCTGAACGCCCAGAAATGATCCCACGTCGGCCTCAACGTGCAACTGTGTGCTCTACTCGCTGTGATCTGTCCCTGTGAGACGATATAACCGTAACATCCAAACAGCTTCCTTACTTCTGCCAACTGCTCTAATCTGACTCTAATCTCTCTTCTCCACTCTCTGCTCTCCATCTGTCTATCTATCTGTCTCTTTACTCTCAATCACTGTTTCCGCTCACTATCCACGCAGTCAATGCCGATTTACTGAAACGCTCTGCGTGCTCCAGGTCGGAGCATCATCACGAAGAAGGGCGATGGCTCTCAGGTGAAGGAATCGACCGACAGCAGCACGACGATCGAGGACGATGACGTGAAAGGTAGGACCACCCAGAATCCTCTCTCACTTCTAGAAATCTTCTCTTCTAGCCCCCTCTTTTTGTGCGTGATTTTTGTCCTCGGTTCACACCCCGTCCCCGAAATCTTAGGCTGACGGCCCACGCCGGTCGTCCAGGTCTCTGCGCCCACGATGTCCACGTGATCTCACGACACCCAAACCGTGTCACGAGTCTTTCTCGGGGCCTCACTGCACCGAGTCGGTGCCTCGCGGTTTCGCCTCCTCTCACTCTCTCTCTCTCTCTCACTCTCTTTCTCTCTGCCTCTCTCGATCTCTATACCCGTTTCTCAGAGGTCTCGTACCACCTCGTGTACGCTTGGAATCTGGATACTGGTACCTGGCTGACGGTAATGATTTTTTGGACACATTTTCAAGGCTGGCATCGAGTTTCGGTGCTGAGGATGGTGCACCGTGTTGTGAGTGAAATTTGAAGGAGATTTTTGAGTACTGGGATGATGGACATAATCTATATCGTCTATTATGGTTGGAATATCGTGTAATAATTAGATCTGAAAAATCGTATCTCGTGTGTAAATTTATAAATTGTTTATATTATTACGTAGACATGTTTTGATCTCTTTCTCTCTAATTTTACTGACCTGACCAATTGCAAATTTATTATTTGCCCTTGCTTCTAAATATTATTCTAATGTTCTCTTCTTAACGTGATCCCCTGCGATTATTTAATTTAATATAAACATCGTGAATTTTATAACAACGCGATGATATTCCATTATATTCTAATAATTTTCTCAGAGTTTGAGATAAAAATATAGACTAGCTACTGTACTTCAAGGAGTTCGACTTTTGCCACGTCCAAGCATTTTTCCAAATATTAAAAAAATTCCGATAAACTGCTCTCGCGTTTTATCGATCGATAAATCCATAAATCCCCGGGCGAAATCTCTCTCACGCCACCGGGAGCTCTGGGGATGATAAATCTCAAGACAGGTCCGAGGCTGTACCACCGATCTCCTTCAAATTTCGCTGAAATTCCGCACTGTAACGGCCTTCGAGAACTTTGGGTCGTCCATCGAGAACACACGTACAGCACACGTACGCACGGTGCACGGATTCGTGGAGTTACAGCGCCGAAAGAATCGATGCAGCCTGCAGCACGGTTGAATAGGTTGGAGGTCTGTTTAAACTGGAACTTGCTATCGGAAATTGGCGATGTCGCGAGGCCAGGATCGAGTAACGCCATTCGGCTGGCGTAACTTGAAGCCTGTCCCAACTTACTTTCGAGGGTCGGCCGTTCGATTCCGCGCGTACACGCGGCGAGTACCCCGAGCCTCTGGGCTCGTTAATTGTCCGAGCCCGTACCGGGACAGTTAATTCTCCCAGCGAGATTCCGCTAATGGATCGAATCTGAATTTACCGTTCTACTCGCGCCCCGGAGCGCGGCTGTAACTGAATTTCTCGCTGCCGGCCCGTGTGCCGAGCGGAATGGCCTTCCGTCGAGCCGAGGTAATTGCGCGAAGCCGAATCTGCATTCTGCTTTTCGATCGGCTGACCGGGCCGGGCGTGGCAGCGAGAGATCGAGACTCGACGCCTGATCCTGGCCAGAATTTCGGATTTTCCCGAGACCTCGAGGAAATTTCGAAATTTCCACGAACCAGCGGACACCTTTCGACGGAGATCACTGGAGACATTCTCGTGAGTTGACCTGTCCATTTCCAAGAATCTTCCCTTATTGTTAGATAGACACGTGTTTGGCTATCGATGAGAAATCGATAGCGATTTTTGATTACGTTTCGGTTGTACTCCGATTTATGTTTTCCGTGTTTACTGGGTGTTTTGCTGTAGTTTGTAGAGATCTTCTTGGATTTATTCCGGGAAGAAATGCCATACGTGGTTCGTGGATGGTGACTGGTGAACTTTTGGAAGTTCGATCGGAGAAGATCTGTTCGTGGTCCCTTTGGAATGTAACGAAATCACGAGCAGGCACTTGCGCGCGCATATCGGCCTATTATTAGAGTGATAGTACTCCTGCTCACGTGCAAATCGATCGTTGGACAATAGCTCGAGTAGTTAAGTATCCCCCTCGTTGCTTTACCACCCCCTTTTCAACCTACCACCCTCTCCAGCTGCGATCCACCTTATATTTGCGTACACTTGTGCCCCGGTTACCGATATATACATCGTGTATGTGTATACGTTGGTAGACCTGTCGCGGAGGTTCGTCGATTTGCGCGACATCTACGGTAAAAAGATTATTTTCATGAATATTCATCAGAATATCGTAATCGAACGAACCTCTACAATGGCGCTGCAATGAAGATCGTGTTTAACTGTTAGAAGGTAGAGAAGCTTTACTCGTCGTTACCCATCGAATTTGCAGTGAAACTGTGTCTCTCTTCGCCTCTACTAGACGTACAAAACACTGTCTGTGTATTGCTACTTTCGATCCGCTCTATTGAGGATTTCCCTTTTTCTTCTTGTACGTGTACACAACTATTATAGATATTCGTGTATCGTATTCTTACGCGATCGTTTTTCCCCTGCTATTTTCGGGAAATCGATGTAGTTGTTTTTGCTGTGTGTTGCGATAAAGGTGTTTTTGTTATAGTTTTTAACTCGAATTCTAATTTCTAGTATATTCCAACACTATAGCTTTCTTCAACACAGATCTGAGATCCCACTTTTGTATCTAGTATTTTCAGTGTAATATTCATTTACAAACTATCTTCTCCAAGTAGATAATTAATAGTAATTTTTATTTTTTCATCAGAGTAATATACAAATTAAATACAACAAAGTCACTATTATTAAACATAGAGAAATCACTATAAATACACCACTGTTCTCGAGAAAACACTAAAGAAACATTAAAAATGGAAGAAATAATTTTTCCAACAATCCAGGATTCGAACACCGGTCGGTTCCGGTGGAAATCTAGCGCTCTATCAACTCAGCCATGAAATCATCGAACTGTGTAGTCCCTATTCCAGGTATTACTATCCCCCAAGTTCATTACCATGAAAATTGCCTTTCGCCAACACGGTCAGGGATCAAATACACCCTCTTTATCGCAACGCGATCGCATTCGACTATATTAAGTTCCACCCTCCGTTCTACCACGTGAACATATGCACACATACCTGGTACTTTGCAAATCTTTGACTTGTGTGTGTAATAACTACTTCTCGTCGCCTGTCAGCGACTCTGTCTACTTACTACTTAGCAGAGGCGTATACTACTCGCCTATCGAGCTTCCACTCGAAACCGTGTACAGTCCGCATCCCTGTCGACCTGAATTCTCGAGTTTTCGTTATCGTACGCCATCAAACCCTAATGAGCTGTCGCTGAACCGTCCTCTTCTTCGATTCCTCTACGATCATGATCGTAAATCGTCACACACGCAGACACGACCATCCTGATCATAGTTATCCATAGAACCATTCCCATGTGACAGAAACGATTCTCCGGATTGCTAAAAAATTCTTTATTTCAGCTACGATTATTCCTGAAGGCATCCAAAATTTTTCCCGAAGAATTAAAAAGCAATTGAGAAGTTCCAAATTATTTTTTTCATTAAAATTATCATGATCGTCATAATTAATAATAAAAAATCGTAGATCACCAGTAACGGATCTTCTCATATTTTTTAAAGTGGTTGAAATGCAGCTGAAAATTATCGGAAATTTTGAAAGTGCACGAAAATGATACTCGTCCATAAAAATTTAGTGTTTCTGGATGCGATTCCGGAAGTTGTTTCCCTCGATCAGCTTTCAACTGCTCTTTTCTTTGCGGTAGATTTCAGAAATTGACAACCTTCGTTTCGCATATGTTACCAAACAATCATCGAACACCCTTTCACGGGATTGCACTCCGTCTAAACACTGATCTTCGGATCATTCTCTCCTCGATAACGAAATTATCGAGAAGCTCTCTCGTCGCAGAAAATTCTCGTGCAGCTTTAAAGTTCGAACGCATTCTCTGTCGGAAGCGTCCATTGGAAATCCTGAAGGAAGCGTACAAAGGATGGAAAATTTCTGCGAGACGAGTGTCATGGAAAATTCACGGGGCTGAAATTTTGATGACACGAAGGAGCACGCGGGAGTGCAATCCTCGTGATCCTCGGCGTGCATGCAACCAAGTTTCCTGTCCCGTGTACACCGAAAACAACGACAGACAATGGATTTCATTCGCTTTCAAGATTCAGACACTTTATCGCGGAGTGGATTGATTCTCGAGCCAGACACGAGTACACTCGAGCACAAAACGGCGATACTGCAGAGCACTGAAACAATTGGATTCAGTAGCAGATTCGAATTGCCGACCTCTTGCTTACGGTTCCCTCCATGCAAATCAGGAACCACGAAGGAGGGGACCTTGTCTCATTTAATTATATACCTTCCTCTCTCTGCTCGTATTTTTTCCAATTTTTCTTCGTCGGTTTCATCGGTTGTTCGATGAGTATAGTTGGCTGACGAGATGATGTCGTTAGTGACGCGGATGGATGATTTATTAGATTCACCCTTTGCGCTCCCGGGGATTTTTTAATTTGGTTTAATTCTGGAATTGGAAGCTTTCTTTCGGCGAGAAGAAATTGAACGCAGCTGTGCTTTTTGTTCTTATTGGTGGAAGGAACGAAATAATTAATTGCAGATTGGTAATGCTAGCGGTGTCAGTGGAGTGCAAAGGGTTAGAATAGAAGGTTAAATTTAGCGACACATATAGAGAATTTTTAGATGACACTTGACACTAGTCCCAGTGTCGTAGCTAGACCTTTGTTGCCCAGGGTGATCCCAGATTGCCGCCATTTGCGAAACGATGAAAGTATTTCAAGCATCGAACGTGTTAATCCTTTCAATACTAATAGTGGTTATGGTCATCCAACGTCTCACGTGTGCTGTGTACTAGTAATGATTATAGTTATTCCACGTTTGACACTGCTGTTGATTAACCATGATTATAGTTATCTAACGTGTGACGTTTGCAGTGCAATAACAATCACTATAGTTTCTAGATATCTGATGT